TCCTAGGGGGTTTTTTTTTTTTTTTTTTTTTTTTTTATCAGAAGAATAATGATGTGTGCACCAGGTAATCCTGGATCCCAAAGCTGTCTCTGGAAGCCCTCATTAAATCAGCACTTGGTTGGTCTTGTTATTATGGAAATAGATTTGGTTCCTATAGAAACTAGTTGCATGCGACTATTGGAGCCTTATAGCAACAGTTGGAATAATTAGGCACCCTCCAGCTGACACGTACCTCGGTACATTCTGCACCTTTATGCCAGTGCTAACCACTCGGCAGCTGTTAAGGAGGTGACAGTCTATTTTATGGATGGGAAAACATACACCGTGAGGCCAAAGCCAACTTCTTCAAGTGCCCCTGGGTGTCTGAGATTCCTAGAGAGCAGAGACAGATTTTTGGACATGCTGAATAGTTGCAATTCAAGCTAGAGCCCTGAGCTCTTCTGAAATTGGGCCCTGGGCATCTCTGGGTTTCCATAAACTCTGGAACTGAGAATTGGAAGTTTTGGGCTTTGTGACCTGAATTTGCCCCATGGTGGCCAAACTGGACCTGTGTCACAGCTGCCCTTGCTTCCTAGCCCTGTGCCTGGTCCAATGTACCATTTTGCTTCTCTTTTCATTACTTTTTTTAGTACATAAAATAATCCTAGTGCAGTCAAATATAAAGGTTTCATATGTGGAGTCACCTCTATGATTGGGATAAGGGGTCCTATTAGATATTTTTCACCTGCTTGTAATTTCCACATCTGTAATATTGCCAAATTTGAAAATACAACTATTATTTACCAGTTTCTGGTTGATTCAAGCATTGAATCAGATGAGGATGTATACACATCTGGCTCTTCATGCTAGCTCCAGTTCTCCCATGAACAAAATGTTAAGCAGACTTTTGTGGTAGCTCTCTGATTTCCTCGTGGTTCTGCACAGGTCGGGGGTCAGCTTGGAGCTCAATATAAGCATGATGTTTCAGCTTGGATCCTCATGGAGTATAACTTCTACTCAGTCACCAAGATATAGCATAGTTTTAATCTGTGTTTTGGGGATACAGTGGAAACAATGTGCGAGAGTCTCATTTAGCTCTGCAGCAGCTGGTAATACACTCTGAACTTTCCTGCTCCTATTGCAATGATGTTGGTGGACAGGGTAATGGAATTATTTTGGGGTTTGTCACATTAGAAACAGTAGTAGAAATAAAGAATCCGCATTTGTCAAGAGACTGGAGAATTATATGTTTAAATCTTCTCTGGTGGTATTAAAAATAACCTGGAAAGGAAAAGGCAATCAGTAAAAAATTGTTCTAAGAAATCTTAGATGCTTGCAGGTAAGTCTGGGCTCACACGGGAACCAATTTATAACCTTCCTGACTACTGTGTCTGTGTGCAGGTGGCTCTACGTATTCGTCCGATCAGTGAAGCTGAGTTGGAGGAAGGTGCCTCTATCATAGCCCACAGAGTGGGGGACCAGGTGAGGCTGGGGCAGGGAAGTATGGGTGAGTTTACAGCTGAGCTGGTAGACAGTAGATTCCTGGAAAGAGGACCAGGGGGCTTTAATTTTACTTTTTCAATCGTGGTGAAGAACAAATACAATGACATACTTTCAAGTTAACTTGTACATGACGTTTCCAGTGAACCCACTTGAATAGAGACAGGATCTGAGGTATAAAACATCCTGCAAACCTAGGCAAAGGTTGTTAGATGTGTTGCAGAATTTGCAAACTCCTGAGGACTTCGTGTCCTAGAGAGAGGGTCTAGGAAGGAGGCAGAGAGTTTACTGAGCTAGTCTCAGGACAGAACACTTCAATTGGAAATGAAAGGAAAAATATATTTTAAAGATTTTAGTTGCAATTTTTTAAAAGAACAATTGAGGTTCTTTTAGCAGCGAAAATGTGCAATGGTAACTACCAAAGTGAATATAAATTTTATGGGAGTTGAAAAGCTTAGTTTTCTAGGTGGTTTCTAGTGAGCTTGTGCTAATTACTATTCTTAGCCTCAACTTAGTTTATGTAGAGCCAATTCTGACCCAATTGCTGATTCTAAAATAAAATAGGCTAAGCTTGATAGGCTTGTTAACTTGGAGTTGTTCAGTCCAATAGTGAGTAGTCTACTTTTGCATATGTTTTTGTGACGCTTCCTAGTCAGGCAATGTGTTAATCTGGAAGGAACAAAACTATTTTTGTTTTTACTGTCTAACTAAAACTAATTTTTTTCAAGGTAGTTGGGTACCAAGGTCCCAGGGATGCAATGGCTACTTGCAAGTAGACTCCTGAGATCAATCACAGCATTGTTGCAGGAAAAATGTCATGGGACAAATTGGCACAGAAAACACCCTACAGGCATTCTGTGCGCCCATGCAGACAGGCTGATGTGCATGTGCAAATATGGACTGTGGGCATGAATCAGGAAGCTCCTTTAGAAATTTGCCCGTAGATATTTACTATTCCGTTTCCATTTCATCAGCGCCAATGACTCAATTCACTTAAGAGAAGTTGTTGGTTTGTGTTTTCTACTGGATACTTTGAAATAGAGCATGGTGGTCGGTAAGAAACAGGCTTCTTTACTCTTCATTCCATCCAGGAAGAGCACAGACCAACTGCAGAAACTTCCTCAGCCTGACAAAGGGTTTTTAAACCTGAAAGCTTGCTTAAATTTTTTCCCCCAACTATTTAAGTTGGTCTAATAAAAGATATCAGATTCACCCAAAGAACCTTGTCAGCCTAAGATCATGACACTTGTACACCGGCCACTGGGTATTTCTTTCCCCTACATATTCCCTGCCTCTTCTGTGTGATTTTATCACCGCTTAGCATCCTGATGCAGTGATTATTTTGTAGATCAGGTGGCTGATGATCTACACTCACCTAATTATGTATTTATCTGAGACAGCAAAAGCTCCCCTGGAGTATATGGCGCCTGACTCCCCCATCCCCTTCCCTTAGGTACATAATTCCCCTGGAGGCTAGATCACCTCCTTATGAGCTGTTCCAGCGGAGGAGAAATGCTACCCTCTTTCCACCATAATTATGTACTTATGTGAGTGATCACCATGGCCTCCAGAGGAGCCAAGAGAAATGAAACCTGTCATAAAGTACATTTTTTATTTTAATCTTCCTTATTCTAATCAAAGCTGTAAAAGAAACCAGTTTCTGCCCCTGAGCAAAGCAGGCATTTCTGCTAGTCCTTACACAGGAAAGGCTTCTAAGGGATTTCCCCACGTGTTTTTGCTCCCAGGAAATTTAATTTGTTTCCTGAACAATTCTCCTGGGAGCTGGGAATGTTCCAGATCCTAGCATTTGACTAAAAATAAAACCAAAGGGGGGCAGTTGCTGCCTTAGACACACTGGGCTTAATCAGGTGTAATATAGGAGAGGCGAGTGCAAATGACTCACCCAGTGGAGCCTCACTGAATTTCCTCTGCGCATCTTGAAATGTTCGGCAAGAATTGCAAGTTTTCCAGGTGACATCATCTGGAGAGCAGATCAGCTGCAAGGTTTCTTTGTGACTGCCCCAGAATCAAAAGCTTCTCCGATGCTGTGGGTGGTACATCATCTACACATTCAATTTGAAGCAATAAACTCTGGAGCAGTTTGAGCCGGAGTAAACTACTCCCGGGTGCAGCATCTAGATATACATCTGGAACTGCAGCAATTTGAGCCGAGGTGGAGCAGATTATGCCAGGGCTACTCAGCCCTGGGTGCTGGGGGGTGGTGATGGGTGGTGGAGAGGCTGGCTAGGGCACGAGGGTGCTGAAAGTGTGGAGCTGTGGGGGGAGGCAGCAGGCAGGAATCTGGCCCTCGGCTGGCTGGGTGCTATTTACACCTGTGGTCAGGGTCCTCACATGTATTTAATCCCAGTAAATTACCCTGGCCTAAAATAGTACTGTCCTCAACAGTACTATCTTACTGTAGCATAAATTAGTTTACTGCGGTCTAATACCATCGCATGTGTAGATGGTGATGCTTTCTCCACAGCTAATTAGTCTACTCTGCAGTAAAGTGCATGTGTAGATGTGACCCATATGGTGTGCATTGATGCCTTCACATATACACTCCTTCAGTACTTGGGTGGCTGATTGATGCAACAGAATATTGTAAGATAAATAGCCGGCAGAACCATTGGCCTATCTTGATTGCAAGTCCCACTTCATTACAACCACAGAAGCAGTGAAGGGCATCACGTTTTTCTCTCTGTATATGCTTTGTAACAGATGGTTGTTCTGATGGACCCAAGTGAAGATCCAGATGATATCTTGAGAGCTAATAGATCCCGAGAGAAGACCTTTATATTTGATATGGTATTTGATCAAAAGGCTACCCAGGTAAAATTTTCTCCTCCCCTCCCAAACTCTTCCTCCCTGACCCACCAAAAAAAAAAAAAAGAAATGTTGTAGTTTGGTTTAAATTGTTTGATTTAACCCCTGGGAGTAACACTGCACACCGATGAATCCATGTTGCGTCCAGCGAAATGGCAGAGGTGCTGAGGGGGAGGCAGACTGCAAAGGTTTCTCTTCTGCTTATTGGAGAACCAGTGTAAGATACAGTCTGCTCTGGATATCTCTCTCCCCCAGGACTTGATCACCCAGATCTGTATGCACACAGTGGAGTGGTTCTGGCACCGAGAGCCAGGACTCTTGGGGCCTCCAGTGAATGAGGTCACGGTTGTCTTGTTTAGCTCTACGGCATAGGCTCTTCTTTATCTGTTTTGTTTAAGCCTCTCTAAAATGAAGCGACTTCCCAAGCCATCCTCCAGTTAGGTGCACACAGCTGCACGCATCTCTGCAGGAGACGGAGTGAAATGATCTGAAAAACTGATTAATGTCTGAAATAATTTATTTTACAAGATCAGTCTCCTCGGCCTTTCTGCCAGTGACTAATACATTTATCACAGTGGTAACAAGGCACCAAAATGTTTTTATCTAAGGATTTATTAATGGGCCTGTCAGCAAAATATCATCTAAGCATTATATAGGTCCATAAAATGCTGTCCATAATAAGCCTTCAAAGCAGATGGCCTAGAGAACTGCCAAGAATATTTATATCTTTCCTACCTTCAAAAAGTAAAATTTCTTTGTTAATACCTTTTTGAACCAACTTTATCATTAGAGAAGTTAGACAAGCCTTCAGGCACAAAATGCCCTTCCCCAGGTCTGGGAAAACAGTAGCTACAGCCTAAGCTAAATATCAGGTCAAGCAATGAGAGCACTTTGTGCCTGAGAGTTTATCTGCTATCTTTCCTAAGTATAAATTTGGGAGAGATGCAAGATATTATCAAGGAAGTCTTTTTTCCCCACATGGTATTCCCTGGATCATCATGGCTACAACACTTCTAGATTTGGCTTTGATTATTTGCTGGGTGTCACAGCATTACTTAGTGTGCAGGTACATGCTGGCTGCTGCTTCTGGTGGCTCATTCCAGATTTAACCACCCTTGAGAAGGTTAATGCTGGGGTGTGTGGGCATGCATCCACCCATACATGTATTTGGAGAGGACACCGCTGGTACAATGTATTATGTCCGTGACTCATTCTACTATTCCCAACCCTTTCAAAGCTTCAGACAGACGCTGGGATGGTCTGCAGCTGGTGTAAGTGGCCATGGTCCCATGGATCTGCTCACTCCTTCCTTCCTTCCCAACCTGCCAGAGAAGGGTTTCTTGACGGCTCCAGCTAAACAGGGAATATGACCTTTGCCTGAGGTCTCGTATGCATGAAATCTTCCCAATTCAAAAACTATGGGACATTCACTGTGATAACCTTCAACCAACAGTTCTCAGTCGTTTTAGATTCAAGGCACCCCTGGATATACTTGGGCAGCCCTTGGAAAATGCCAGCTCTTAGTTTACACTTGTTATTTGATTACAGAGAAATAAGAGACCAGTTCTTCTGCTGCAAGGAACTCAGGCCACGAAAAGGCTGAACGTTTTTAACACTGTAGATTCCTATTACCAATGTCTTGGTTTATCACGTGAGTCATGTTTGTACGCCTAACAGTGCCAACATTACGTGGCATCCTTGAAAGGATCTGAACGTACCGCAGGGTGCTATGCCACAGCATCCTGGTTGAGAATCACTGGCTTAGTGAGAAGTAACCAGCTGAGAATCACTGGTTATGTGTATCAGCTTGGAAATAATGTTTATGTCTGCCCTAATAGCTCTGCTGTTTTTCACTGTGACCAGGAGGAAGTATATGTGTCCACCACCAAAAGCCTGGTAGAAGGAGTCATTTCTGGATACAATGCAACTGTTTTTGCATATGGCCCCACAGGTAACACGGACATACTATAACTGCAGGGCCTGGAGCAGGAGTTGGGTGGGATGGAGTGTGCAGGGAGAACTGAAACTTTAGGTCCTGGACCTGAAGCAGCAAGTCTAACTTCCTAATTGTATCAGTTCAGAGACAAGGCCAGAGCAGTACAAACATCATTCTGTGTATTGCAAACTGTGCCTCTGTGCATCATGAAGTGCAATGCACTGCTGCAGGGGCGGGCAGTTATTTTGGGCAGAGGACCGCTTTCTGAGTTTTGACAAGCCATCAAGGGCCACATGACAGGCAGCCAGGGGCAGATAAATATTAAATTTCTAAGTGTTTTAGAGGCCCCTTGGGCCAGATAGAATGGCCTGGCGGGCCACATCCAGCCCATGGGCCACATTTTGCCCAGCCCTGCGCTACCGTGTATTGCAAACTGTGCCTCTCACTTTAACTGTCAAAGCAACAGTAAAGCAGGAGTACGCTTGAAAACGGGCTGAATTAGGATGGAAATCACTGGAGGGAAATATTTCCTTTTATTAAAAGGACTTTATAAAAAGACAAGGACTGCTCCTTGCAAAGCTGGAGTCTGTACAGTCTCAGGAGGGCAGATCCAGCCACAGATGGACTCTGCCATTAATTACATCAGAAGTTAATTTTCTTCTGGAATCTGATCTGCACTGCTCTTTTCTCTGCTTTAACAGGGACAGGGAAGACCTACACTATGTTAGGGATGGACTGTGAACCAGGGATCTACATCCGCACTCTGAATGACCTCTTTAGGGCCCTGGAGGCAACCAGTGACAACATGGATTACACCGTCTCGATGTCATACCTAGAGGTGAAGCATCTTTGGTTGGTTTTTAAGGGGGTACAAATTCTGTGAAGTAGGTGCTTTGCAATGAGAGCTTAGTGAGACTCCTGCTTAGAGAAGGTATAACTCAAAGCTGCGAGTCCAAAGCCATTCTTCTTGCCTTGTTCCTCTTCGGTGGTTCTGGCTGGGTTCTAGACTTCTTGTCACCTTTTCCTGTATTTTTTGCATAATTGGTGACATTTCCAGCTATCGTTGCAGTCATTCATTTATCTGTGTTATCTCCTGTATCACCTATTCACAGAAGCTGGACTCAGCTAGTTTAGCCTCATCTTGCTTCTCCTGTCCAGGGAAATACAAACAATGCGAGCCCAATGCCATACCTAATGGATCTTAAATAGCACAATCCTCCATATTACTGATCCAAGGATAAAGCAGTGTGAGTCTACTGACTTCCTTTGCCTTTCCCCTCCCCTATCAGATTTATAATGAAGTGATCCGTGACCTCCTGAATCCATCCTCTGGATTTTTAGACCTGAGAGAGGACTCCTGGGGTAGTATCCAGATAGCGGGAATAACTGAAGTCTCTACTACAAATGCACAGGAGGTAAGCTGGACTGAGTGTCCACAGGAGAGGGAGGGGGAGTGTGCTCACTGCTCTAGAGTAGCAGCAAGGTTTTCAGATGGTTTCACATATCCACATTGTCATCATCTTCCTTGATATAGTGTCTCATGCAACAATATCCATGGAGACTCATTTAATTCAGCCAAATTACTCAGAAAGGACTAATCAGGCAGGCAGGAGGTAACAGGAACCAGGCTGAAATCCATTCCTAAGCAATAAAAATCAGCTAAATAGGTCAGTAGGTTCAGTATCTGCTGGTTTCCTGAAAAGAAGAATGCCTTGACCTATATTACACATCCTATCAGCTAAAATGTTAATAGAGGAAGTGGAAAGGAAACAACTGAAATATGCTTTAGTAGTGCACTTGAAGGCAGACTGTGCTGAGTATCTACATTATTTCTAATGTGCAGTTTTTTTCTAATATTGGGAGCACCAATTGTATAATATTATGTCGTTTTGGGTATAACATGCTGAGCTATTCCTAGCAGAATGCAACCCAGCACGTCATCAAGCCAACAAAAGTGAAGTCCCAAGATTTACACCATTTGGTAGCTAGGGCATCGAACCCAAGTCCCAGTGAAGTCACAGCCAAAAATTGGTCCAACTTCTGCTTACACTTTAGGGTGATCAATCTCGCTGTTATTGTAGGTGAAGCTTACAGTTACCAGAGCAGATCTTGCTACCTCTGGTGCTTTTCTGCCTTGTTTAGATCATGCAGCTGTTAACAAAAGGAAACAAGGAGCGCACTCAGGAACCCACTGCTGCCAACAAGACATCTTCCCGCTCACACGCTGTCCTGCAGGTGACAGTGAAATGGATGAGTCGGGTGAAGGATATTACTGAGGAAGTGCGAGTGGGAAGGCTTTTCATGGTCGACTTGGCAGGGTCTGAGAGAGCTGCCCAGGTACAGCTAAGAGCTCAACAGGCATTTACAAACGAGACTTAACCCTTTGGTCCCTCATGCTATAACTTTCCGAGGAACAGCTGACATTGTGTGGGGCACATACTGTCTTGAAAAAGCTTTGTTGCATGCATGTTTGGCATTTATAAAACATTGGGAATACAACATTTTAACACTAGTGATATATGCACCATGTGTCATTTTTATTGAGCAAGAGTCAATTAACTGTGTTTAAACTTTCTCTCTGTGCACAAGCAAAGGTCAGCACCCTACAAGTGCAACTGAGAGCTGCTTTTTTGTAGGCTGGGTAGAGGAAAGGGCAGAAAGGACACGCGGGTGATCAGAGCTGAAGTATTTTATCCAACTGCGAGATGTCCTGCAGAATTTTAAGCTTTGACAACGATGCCTTGTATGAGAACAAGGGAGCTCTGGAAAGGCAGAGGGGTGGGGGATTGCTGTGACTGATGTAAGCATCACGGACAAGCAGGGAGCTGGAGGGTAGACCATTGGATAGATGGAAGTCAGAAAAAAATGGGAGAACCAGGAAAGGGGAGAGAGAAAAAACAGTGCGGACAATGAGCAATTGAAAGGATGGTGATGGGGAATACTGCATAAAAGTTGGGATAGATACGTGGAAAGCTATTTCTGCGTAAAATGGTTAGAACTTCTGCTGTGTGCTTCAATCCCATTTGCTTAGTTAAGAAGCAAGTCACAGAAGGGGAGGTTTCAATTTACTACAAATCCTCTAGCAGAGACTCCGGACTGAATTCAAGTCCACCATGTGCCAGATTTCAATGGGAGCTGCGCCCATTTGTATCCCTGCTGAATTTGCTCTGTCTAGATTTGTCCGAGAAGCTCATGCTTTAGAGATTCAAACCCTAACATTAATGTTGCAAAAACAAAGCCATTTCCCTAGTACAACCCCATCCTTCTTCCTTTCACACACAGACCCAGAACCGCGGCAAGAGAATGAAGGAAGGAGCCCATATCAATCGCTCGCTGCTAGCTCTAGGAAACTGCATCAATGCCTTGAGTGAGAAGGGTGGGAGTCGAGGCCAATATGTCAATTTTCGAGATAGCAAGCTCACCCGCTTGTTGAAGGTATCATGTACTGCTGGCTGGGAAGGGAATCAACACATTGAAGGCTTGTGTTGCTGCACAGAATAAGTTATACTTGAGAACTGACCCACATTTGTGTATCTCCATTTTTCTTCCCAAGCACAGGAAATTACGTCAGGTCTTGAGTAGGGGTTCAAGCCCAGCCACTAATACATTTTGACTCATTTCTAACAAAAGCTGACCCCAGCGCTCTTTCCTGCCCAGGGCAGGGGGTTGGATTCAATGACCTACCAAGGTCCCTTCCAACCCTAACATCTATGAAAAACAACAGGGTCAAATGAAACCCTGGACTGTGTCTGAAATGAACCAAGCTAGGATGAGCTGTAAAATCCAGTGAACCTCTGTTGATAACTTGAAACCTGGGAGTTGTGCTGTGCGATCATGTTGTGTTTGTTCACGGATCCCAATGTACTTCACAGCTTTTAGCATGAATCTTGGTTGATTTCTTGTGCTGAACTTCCAGCTAGGGCTGATTGAAAATGTATTTGCTACTCCAAAGCAGGATTTAAAAAATGTGTAGAACTTGTTTTATTTTGTCAAAATCCCAGAAGTTGTTTGCATTTTGATGAAAATGGACATTTTCCTGGGAACAGAAAATCCCACATAGTCAAAAAGCCACATTTTTGTCAGCCAAAGGTTACAGCAACAATTTTTGATCTGCTCTACCTACCGCTCTTAGTCTGGATTCTCTACTGGAGTCTAAATGAGCAGCTCAGTGTAGCTTTCAGGGGACCAAGCATGCCCCACCGGTGCCTTTTTGAATACCAAGTGATGGCAATGTTGTGTTCATCTAGGACTCACTGGGGGGGAACAGCAGGACAGTTATGATTGCCCACATCAGCCCTGCTAGTATGTACTTTGAAGAATCTCGTACGACCCTGATCTATGCGTATCGAGCGAAGAACATCAAGACAAGGGTAAGCAAGCAAGCAGCTCCCCAGCTAGATTTTGTAGAAGAAGCATGCAAAGGAGGCATGAAAGATGCTGGGTGAAAGGAGGATGAACTTATTGGGCTGAGATACATGAATGGGATGCACAATGGGGGGAGAGAGAGGCCAGACAGTATTCTTGATATTCATGTTGGAAGCGTGAGGGAAGAGTCAAGCAACATGGTGGGAGGGAAACAGTAAAAAGAGAAGGTAAGGAACTTAAAAGAAAGCAATGGGTACTGACCACATCAATAGATCTATGAATAAGATGCATTAAGGGACTGGGGATTAGTCATGGCAGAGAGGGTAGCATGCATGGCACAGAGCAGTGTACAACAGATGGGAAGCAGTATAACAAGAAGTGGTGAGTAAGTGCCATAATGGCAGTGGATATAGATGACAAGTGGGTGTGGAGCTGCCAGTGAGGAAATAAAAAGGGAAGGCTAAAGAGGCAGCAAAAGGAAAGGCCTGTAGGGTAAAGGAAGGTAGACAGTGATGTATAAAGAGTTATCCCATAGACTGAGGGTAACTAGGCACCTCTTGACTAGGAGGGATGCTGTGGTTCTCAACCAGGGTGCTACAGAGCTACCAAGAGAGCTACAGGATGAATGACCAAGTGTGTTTTGGTCCCACCAGGTGAAACGCAACCTGCTGAATGTTTCGTACCACATTGCTCAGTACACCAGCATCATCTCAGATCTACGCCGGGAGATCGAGCGCCTGAAAGCAAAGATTGAAAATCAGGAGAAGGAGAAGAGCATTGTCAGCTCTGAGATCGGGGATGCTCAAGGTAGATCCAGGAGCAGATGCTTTTCTCTGCTAGGTTCTGTCCTTGAGGTTTGTGCCTTGGTGTGTCTTGTGTATGAGCCTGACTTTGGCTTTTTGAGGCATCCGCATCCCGTCCACATGACATTCAAAGGCTTTCCTAGAGAGAGTCTCTTGCTTTTCCAGCTGCTGGTCATGTTTCCAGTAAACTATTTTTTGCCCAGCTCCATCACTGTAAGGTCCTCCAGCCTCCCTGCATCAGGTCTGTGTTGGGGCAGACATCTGTCTCCTTAGTCGAGTCTTTCCTCATCAGTCCCTCATGTCAGCCATGCCTGATGCTTTTAAGTGCCTGATGTAGAGGAGCAAATTAAATCAGGTCAGAGTAGGGGCTGTTTGTTGGTCAACACTGGACTCCATTGTGAACTTCATCACTAGCTTGTGGCATAACTATGGGCAGACTCTCTCTGTGCCTCACCGTCTTGTACAACAAGGGTATGCCCCACTGCAAGGTCCTTTGAAATCCTATGAGCCTTTATAGAAGTACAAATTAGTGGCATCTTGTCGTCATAATTATTTTGCAGCCCATGCTGTTACTGCTTCTGTTACTAACTGTGCTATAAAGGCAAGAAGATAGGGCAGGGTGGCACCTTACAGACTAACTGGCCTTAGAGAGGCATGAATTGTCATAGGCAACAACCTACTTGGTGGGCTACCAGCTCTCAAAGGAGTCTTGTGTGGGCCACATTAGGGAGTGGGTGTAGAGTACTGGGCCATTGGAAATGGAAGGGATATTGTTTTCTTCCATAGCGGAGATGCATGAGGATCCAGAAGTGTCCAGCCGGCAAGAGATGAACAAGTTGCGGGAGCAGCTGATTGGAGCTTTCAAGGAGCAGCTGGAGATGCGCCGCAGCCTCATAGACCTGGAGAACACCAACACTGAGCTGCTCATTGATGCCTCCAGGCATCTGCTTACAATTACAGAGTGAGTACAGCCACAGGAGAGCCAGCTACTTCCTGATGAGGAAACACCGTAATGTCCCCACCAAAGGTGTCAGTAAAAGATGGGACATTTTAGTTCTGGTGTCTTGATTCCCTACACTGGACACTCATAATGTACCTGAGAGCTCCCAGAACTATGCATTTTGCAACTGGTCTAGGGGTCAGGCTAAGTCTTGGTGCAAGAGAGAGTTAACCAAGGAAAGAGGCTGCAATAAGAATGAGTCAATAGGGCTGAGGTCAGGTTTCCACACAATGCAGTTACCAATGGGGGTTGCAACATTAATACCTAGAAATTGAAGGCGGTGTCTTTCCAGAGTGGCTAAATCATTGGAGGGGGAAGTTCAGTGGCTTTCAGCCTCCACTGTGAAATGCAAGCAAGGAACTAGGATTGTTTTTAATTCCTAGACGCTGTACGCGCTCATAAGTACCAGTGATTCAAAGTAACCGTACTGCCCTGAAAGAAGATTTTTCTATCCTAAGGAGCCACAACAAAGAGTGTAACAGGCAGATAGCCCTGTGTCTGATCTCTATCCTGGCCTTGCATTTTTAACTGAGATCTGTGTTAACTCTTGGAAGCACCTCAGTCTTGCATTGTTGGTCTCCGCTACCTCTCTGTTGGCACCTGCTGTGTTCTCTGCATCCTCTCACACTGCATGTGTGCCCATTCCCCTTGCAAACAAAGTAAAATCCATCCATGCCACTGCGCAGACTAAAGCATAATGGTCACTTCTGAATGGGGTGCTCTGTTGGCACTTTTTTCAACACCTCTGCCAATTTTTACAGCTCGGTACAGTTCAGGTCATTTCAGCTAAGTACTGAAGCTATCTGAGCCACATCTCTCCACATCTGCTGCAACAACAGCTTGCAGTGCTGAAAGAATCAATACTTCTTTGCAGCTAAAACATCTTGTTAGGACTCTGTCTAACTACAGAGACACTAGGAAGTTAATTCCAGTCTGCTATATCTGATTTGCTCCACCATATGCAGCCAGGATTACTCAGTTCTGCTGCTGCCATGCAAGAGAAAATCGGGTAAGCACTTGAAGACTGGGTGGACATGGCCTGGGGTCACTTGCTCAGTAGCATCTGAGTGAATGCCACTGTGTTCCAGAGGGTAAATGTCTCCCACTGCTGTATTTTGGCTGGCAGCTGGGAACGAGAGAAGACTCAACATGCTCGCAGGTGCCATGACAAGTCAGTGAATGAGAAGGAAGATGAAACCATGGATGAGGAGGATAGAGAAGTGGAGGGCACAGATTCACCTGAACCTCATGAAGTCATGGTGGCAAGAGAGGAGATCAACATGCTGTTGGCAGAGCAGCGCAAAACAGCAGCCCTAAAGGTGAGACTGAGCACAAGTCGGTGACCTCTGCCTGCCGCAGCCAGAGTCCCGGAGTGAGGGGGTGGCAACTACGTGGTGTATATAGTATGGCATCAAATGGAGGCAGAGCTGGTGCTTCAGACCCCAGAGGACCTGAAAGAGGAAAGAGAAGTGGCACACGCAGAAGCTTGCAGCAGTTTGCACGCTCCCGGCTCTAGGAGCCTGCAGGTGGGCAGGGACTGCAGCGCAGCCGCAGGCGGCAAATTCTGATTACAGGCTGCCTAGGGAATGGGACCAGCTGAGGCAGATAACTAGCTGGTGCCTGAGCAGCTAAAAGGGCTCCTAGGGAAGAGAATTAGAGTCAGTCAGGGTGTGTGAGTTAACCCTTCAAGGATCGAGTGAATCCTGTGTGGAAAATGTTAATGTGTGGGTCCTGAGTGGGATTCAGGCTGGTTCCTAAGAGGGCAGAGAGGCCAGGAAATAAAGAATTCTGTATAGGTAAAGGACTGTTTGAGCTAATTAACTCCAAATCCACTACACGCGCGTGCGTGCACACACACACCCCCCTCCCACATGTCCTTGTTGCTTGGCCACATGTTGTACCGTCCTCTCCTGCTGAATTTTGGTAGCCTGGTCTCCTGGCTGTGTAGAGGTGATGGATGTAGCTTTGCCATGTCAGAGCGTACAGGGGGTCTCTGATCTGGCAAAGGGCTTTTGTGATGTTGCTTTGGTTTGGCTAAAGAGAAGTAGTAGAAAAAATAGTGGAGGCAGATGGTCATTTCTTGTGATTCACTGAGAAAAGCTGTGGTGGGAAATCGCTGCCACAGTATTGGAGGGGGTCAGGCAGGGGCATTCACAGATGTCTCAGTATGAGCAAGAGGGCTCATGAGTTGAGCTAGGGCACTAGAAAGCCCTCAGTGCTAATCCAGGCTCTGCCATTCATTCCTCAGTACTGGGGTAAGTCACAAACTCTCTGTGCCTTGCTTTCCCACTCTTGAGGCAGGGATTGCCCTTCTTCCTGTGTGCCCCCCCCCCCCCTTAGGGCCATCTGTTAGTCACTGGTAGCTCAGTGCTTTGGGAAGTCTTTGGCCTTAAATGACATTTTATGTCTGTAGGTTTTCTCCAGCTGAGAAGTGTTCCTGGCTGTGTATTGGACAGTCACATGGTTTGCCTTACAGGATATATGAATAATAATCTCCATTCTCATTACTGTGAAGCACTGTGCCCCTAGACCCCCTATCTGGGGAGGTGGAAATGCAGCCTCTGGCTGTGCAGAGGAGGTGATCAGACAGCTGAGCTGTTTCTCAAGCACTCTAGTAAATAAATATTACCATGCTCCTCTCCATGCAGTCCTGGTGGCTCATGCAAACCCTTGCTTGCCCATTCAGGCAGAGCTGGAGAAGCGGTTAGCCAATGCCAAGAAGAAGGCCTCCCAGATGGAGAAGCTGCTCCCTAGGCAAATCACCAGCAAGGACCAGCAGGAGGTGCTGAGGCTGCTGTGTAAGGCTCACGAGCTGGAGGTGAGCAACACAGAGCTGCAAGCCAGCACCTTGTACAAGGAGAACCTGCTCTGCCAGAAGGACTTTGTGATCCAGCGGCTGCAGCAGCACAGGCTGCTCTGTGAAGAAATCATTCAGCAGCAGCAAACGCTGATTCGAGGTAAAACCCCAGCCGTACTCTTGCTCTGCTGGCATTGCTGAGCTTTGCTGATGCCGAATGGAGAATCCTGTGCCATGAGCCACATCCTGCACTGACCCTTACCAGCTCTGCTGGATGGTCTGGGTGCTCGCTAGCTGTTTGTCTTCTGGTGTTTCCCTAACTTTCTTCCTCCCTCCAGACCATAACATCCCTGTCCCAGGGACCCTGGGGAAACTGCATCATCTGTACTTTCATGAGTTAGAGGAGGGGACTCTGAACCGCCTTCTCCTGCTTCATTCATTGATGTCCACCACGCTCAGGGTAAGGCAGAGCTGACCTGTCCTTTTGGCTACAAGATCCCATCCACCGCTCTATGCTTCTGGGTAATAGCCATTTATTTGCATGCACAAGAGACCCTGCCGTGCCTCAGGAACCGTCCAGGGTAGTCTGAGGCATGTTTGGGGAATGTTCCCTTCTCAGAGAGGTATCAGGCTGCTACCTGGGGCTGGGTCCACAGCTGTAAGAATCTGTTCTTCTAGTGTTTGATTCAGCAAAGCACATAATGTATTTGCTAAAGTTCCCATGAACTTGTTCGAGCACGTGCTTGATGCTATTCTGAACCAAAGTCTGCATCCTACTTCGGTGTACCACGCTGGCTTAGAGCAAATAATACATCAGTCCCCCTCTGAAGGAATGGCTCATGTTCCCAGGTGGGTCTCTCAGAGTGATATTGTGAAGATGGAAGAGGGTTGCTTACCAGAGAGGCTCTAGTTTTCTGAAAGCTGTGGCTCAAAGGGCTTCTCTGATCCTCCCTCCTTCCCTTTCACTTGAAAGTAAATGAGGAAGGACTGGAAGGCTTTCATACCATCAGCCACCCTCATTTTGGGCTTGGGGGATCCAGTGAGCTTGGTCCTTTTCAGACATGGTCCAGGATTTCACTTGACTTTGTTGTTTTTGTTAGAATGGAGTCAAGATGTATGTCCCCTCGCTGCAAACTGAGATCAAAGTTTTGGAAACTAGGCATGCAGGTCCAGCGCGGGGACTCTGTAGGGACAGTTTTTAGAAGAACAAGAACAGTAGGTAACCTTACCTTTCCCAATAACTGCACCATCCATCACCTCCGCAGCCTGATGGCATCGGGGGACAGTGGGATAGGAATACATTGTCTCTGTTCTTTTTGCAGTTTTTTGTGAGGATTTCTCCAGACAGTAGCATGCTGCTGGCCACTTCTTAATATCTTGTATTAGCAGGAGGGCATCCAAATGGCATCTCCCCTTATGTATCCTGGCTTGTCTCGAATACACGTGCCACAGTTGGTTCTCACGCTGAGTTAGGCTTGCTGTCAATCCTGTTGATACTCAGGACAGGGTTGGGTTACAGATTTGAATCCTGCATGGGCAAACCACAGATGCTTCATCAGTGGAAGTCCCTGCCTCTAAGTAGGAGGCTGGCTTTGCCACAAGGGCACGGCGCCAACTAAAGTGCACAAGCTCGGCCAGTCACTCTGTGCTGGGGATTTGGGTGTCTTTTGAAATGGATGTGAGCTAAGCAAAGTCCCTTTCAGCTCTGTAGTCACAAGGGTCACAGAAGTGGCGGAAACCCCTTGAAATCCTCTCATGACCAGTTTTTCCTCTTTGCTTCCTTAGTGCCTGACCAATATGGTGTCCTAACCTAGAAATAAAATCTGGCCTGCAGCAAGAGTTTCAGTTTAGATTTGCAATAGGATCCGGGTTCCAGGAAAGTCAACAGGGTGGAGAGAGGGCTTTGGACTGAAGAGCCCTGCGCTCTGCTTGCTGATGGTCTTACTGATCAACCCTTTTCCTGTTGCCCCAGGATGGCTCCACTCCAGATATAGCTCAGCAGCTGGACCTAAGTAAGGAGGAGGGCAGGAAAGAGCTTGCTGACAGCAGGAAGGGTCTTCCTTGGGGAGCAAAGTTTGAGCTCCCCTCCATCATCCTGGAGTCAGACAGGTAACATGGAGGCATTTCTATCTTTTTCTGGGGGTCTCATATTCCCATTTTCCTCTCCGTTCTCCAGGGCCTGGTAGCTTACCAGATAACTGCAGAGGCTACCCTGTGGCTCGGGTGTTGTTGAGATTTTCGTTATAAAGCTCAGGACCTTGATAGTGACTCTACAACCAGAGGGTTGGCTGCTTGCTTGGGGTGTGGGAAAATTGAGAGATTAGGGACCTGAATCTGACTTCTATATCCCAAGTGAATTCCCTGACTGATTACACGGCCAGTCTCTTGGTGCAGTCAGTAGTTAATTCATATTGAATTAAGCCTGGTAGTTGGAGCACGCAGGTGGAAGAGTGGGGACTAAGAGTCAGGTCCTTTGTCTGAATGAGGCAGAAGCAGGGACTTGAATCTGTCTTCCACATCTCACCTAAGTGACCCGAGGCCTGGACCACTGGCAGTTCTGAGGATCTTGCTCTGAATTTGGCCAAAAATTCCATCCGGGCACAGGCGTATTTGTGGGGATTTCTTGTTGCTGAAACTGGAATGCTCCTGGGAAATGTCAGCTTATCTAAACTGCAAGTCTGCTTTGTTAAACATTTCCCTGTGTGCTCTTGGCTAGCTTTCCAGGTCTAAAATCCTCCCAGAGCAGGAAACAAAGAAGAAGGTCCCTGGTGTCTTATTTATTCATTGTACAGCTCTGCATTTTAATAGGAACCCTCTCCCAGAAAGCAAGTGGGATGCAGATTGGAAACCAGTGAAAGAATGTGAAGCTCTCTGAAGGGTCCTTCCTCTTACCTTCCCAGACACTCTCTCCCTACCTCTGCTTTTATGCAAGTCCTGGTCATCTTCCCCCTATCATTTTGGAAGCTATAATCCAAACTGGTATCTCCTATTGCCCTAGTAAGACTGAGCTCCCTGTCCGTCTCTCTGAAGGTCCCGGTGCCCATCTCTTATGTATGTAGTTCCATCTATTCATCCCTCTCTCTGTTCTTTTTGTAGTGACAGCTACCGCTCATCTAAAACTACCCCTGCCAGGAAACTGGGGAATCCAGATATCCTTCTCAGTCCTACTTTTGCTCGCTTGCCAAGAAGCCCAGTTCACCAGGTCAGTATAGCAGGAACAGAGTCCCAGGGGGAGTTGCCAGAGTGCTGTTGCAGTAAGTAGCACCATGGGTGTGAAGTGGACAAATCCCTCATGGTTGCACGTTGTATGCTGCAGTGAAGGGTGCTGGAGGAAGATAAATACCAGTGTGCAATAGTTTCTCCTGAGTGGTCTCCTGGTTTAAGGCATTGGGGATACAACTATAGAGCCTTAGGCTCAACCTACATCTTTGTCCCATGTTCCTTTGTGAATTTGGGTAAATTATTGCATCTCAGTTGCTCAGTTACTGGGGATAGTTATACTTTCTTCTCTCAGAGGTGTAAGGGAAAAGGTAGCATTTGTGTGTAAGATGCACAGATGACATGGTGACAGGAGTCCTAAAACCTAGACAGCAACATACATTACAGGAAAGGGAAATCATATGGTCCCAGATTATCAGATACTTCTAGACCAATAGCCAATTCACCTAATAAGGAGACCAAATGATCATCTACTCACTGTATCCAATGCATGACATAATACTTAAAAATATGCCTACCCTGGGGGAAGAACATGGTGAAGCAACCCTTCCCCTGGTGTTCACCTTCTCCTCCATGTTCGAATGGTAAGACCATGACTAGAGGTGGCTGCTGCTGTCCTGGAGAACCTGAAGATGGATGGTGTTTGGCATCATCCAATGCCCTCTCAATTAATGCAAAATTATTTTAAGAGTCAAATTCCATGCAACCCCTTTTTGAGGTTGACTTGTGGACAATCTGGAAGGGACTGTGATATTGGCTAGTGCCTGAGAGCAGGATGGAGAGGCAGGAACTCTTGTCCCTCCCAAAGCAGGCTCCTTTTGTAGCCACAGGTAGTTTCCCGACCCTGTCTGCCTCACCGTAAAACAGCACCGACCTGCATCTTGGGGGGAGTGGCAAGGACTGACTGTTGTTTGGGACATACCTTGAAATGAAAAATGCCCTAAATGTTAAGGAACAAGTCACCACTGAGTTGCCTTATGATCCCACTGCTTTGATTTCTACCAGAAATCAACTGGGGTTGCTGCTGGAAAGAAGATTCCCAAATTAAATTCTCCCACCTCCCTGGACTTAACCAGGAAGAAGTCAGCTGTGGACATCATGACTTCTCCACTGAGCCCAGAGGCTTTGAAAGAGATTGCAGTTAGCACCAAAAGCATCTCCCTCATTGCAGCCCGCCGGCGTTGCAGGGCCCAGACCAGAGACCATGGGAGTGAACCCATCTCAGCCCACTTTTTTGAGGATGACATGGTGGAGCCAAAATATCTGCAGGCCAGCTCCACTCCAGAGCCTCGTGTGAAAGGCAGAGGGAGCTTTGGGAGCCTCCCAGAAGAGCCTCAGAGGGAGAAACGGCTGCACCCCAAAACTGGGAGAGAGCTGAGAAAGGAAAGAGATCGGGAAAAATCAGCAGAGAGGAAAGCCAGGAAGAAAAGATCTCGTTCTCTTGAACACAGCTCCCAAAGGGTAGGTGACCTGTATGTTTCTTCTAGTGGGGGGAATTGGCAAGGAGGGAAATATGCTGGACGCGGTTGGGTGGAGAGATGGTCCAAATGCTGTTATGGCAGAGGATAGTGCCGTGGGCTGAGGCAGCGCTGAGCCACCGCACGGCGAATGTTCTGACTTGCACAGATCCTTTACACACCCACTGCACCGTTAACTCCTGGCAGCCCGAGCCAGAGACAGACATGGGACTAAGGAACCTGCTTAGGGGTAATGTGACCCACAGCCTCAGAAGTGTGCGGCTGAGGTCAGTGGGTGTCTTGATGTGTCTTCTAGGTGTCAAAAGCAAAACATCGGACCCCTTCAAGTCCCAACATGGACAACGTCTCTGAGAACCAGCTGCCCAGACCTAAACTCTCCTTGGAGTCAAAGGGCAGAGGCACCCTGTTGCCTGCCATGCAACCTCTTGCCAAGGTCAAATTCCCCATTGGCCACAAGGCAGGTAGGACCAATGGACAAGACTTTACAAGACACCTTCAAGTATGTGTTTGGCTGCGGCCTGCAGGTCAGTCTTTGAGAAACAGGAGAAACAGGCCACAGCAGAAGTCTATGCTAATGTGAGCTTCTTTAAGAAGACAGATGCTGCTTAAACTGCACAGAGGTGTCAAGTAGACTAGTAAGCTCTTGGCTGAATGGGACACTGAAACTGTCATGGTCTTCAGGTCACTTTCTAAGTCACTGCCTCCTAAATGTCCCTACACCCTAAAGCCCAAGTGTCCCTATCCATCTGTTCTGTGTATGGCACCAATTGCTAGTGTCGGCCCCGTTCCTAACAGACGGGTGTCCATGAGTACAGCCATTCATGTGGTCAGCCCCAGCACAGACCAGAGGCTGAAGGAGCAGGTTACATAACCACCTCTGGTCACTCCCAGCCTGGCTGGAGATGCATGGTGCTGGACCTGCCAGCAGGTCAGCTGTGCTGCATAGGTGGCTAACCCCAGGGGATTGCAGCGTGGGGTCTATCAAGCTGTTCAGGTGAACTGGCTGCACCAGTCCAATGACACTGAGACTGGAATCCAGCATTCAGACCCCTGTGATGACGTTTGACAGCCCAGCCTCCCCCCACCCCATTCCGATACCTATCATTAAATTGCTGAATTCTCCTCTTTGGTTGTTCATTTAAAACAAATCAGTATTATTAATATTTCACTTGCAACTCTAGCACTTATTACTTGTACCAAATGTTGTTTTCTTGCTGTACTCCTCTCCCAGTGTTTACAGTGAACGCTTCTGTTTCTCTCGCATTGTCCAACAGAAATTGCACTGCAGGTGCTGGTGATGAGCAATACCCCACCCAGCACTGTCCAGCAAAGCAACGCAGGTCCGACCCGAGGGCAGGTCCTACAAAAGCAAGTCAAAGGTGAGCGGAGAAGATGTCATGCAGCTGGCTCGTGTTCCACTGGTGAATTCTTTCCTCCAGCCCTCGCTCTGTAGCAGTCCCAACCAAGCGAGCTGTCAATATAACAGCTCACTGCTCAGTTGGGAAAGCGATCCAGCGGGCAACGTCTCTTGGAGCCCAGTTTTAAGCCACACGTAGCAGCAGACAGACAACTGGCAGTGTTCCAAAAATGGGAGTTACGTTCCACCTTCCCTTCAGCCAACAATAACTCTTAGGAGGAGAGGATAACCTCTTCAGATGTGGTTGCAATCCTACCGTAATCCATATAGGAAGCACAACTAATCTGAGCTAGCTGTGTAACAATGGGGCTATTTAATACCTTCCACTAAGATTTTCTTTGACTCTTAAGGAACTGAATTGCAAATACAACATATTGAAAAACAAAAAAAAAAACCTCTCCCCAGGGCCCTGAAAAGACCTATGTCTTTCCAGCTCTAACTGGTACTATCAGTGGGGTCCAAGTCTTAGTGCTTAATTGATTTGGGGCCACTGAGGCAAAACTCTGCTCCTGCAATGTGAAACTGTGATCCTCAACTCGGTCTTCTTTCACACTCAGGCCCTGCAGATGGTGCCAGCAGCCAGCAGAAGCAGCCAGCCAAAGGCACGAAGAACCTGCCAAAGCCAAAATAGTCATGGGCGAAGGTGGGAGACTGCGAGTCTGTCTGCCTCCAGGTGACGGGGGCTTACAGGGGTGTTAAGAGTACGTGCATGAGGGAGCCAGTGTCTTGAGAGATGGTGTAGCCAGTTTGCTATGAGGCTGGGGAGAAGGGAAGGGCTGCATATTGTCTGGCATTTTCCCCTTCAGAAGTTTTTGCTTTGCCGAGCTCCAGTTGCTACTTGCCTTTAAGACAGGCTGGGGGTTGCTTTGCTGACTGTTAATGTTCAAAGGAACAGGCAGCTCTGCTTTTTCTCTGTCCAGAAGATGGCAGATGGGAGTCTCTGTCATCTGGTCATCTGCACTTGAGCACAGACTAACTCTGAATTGCCAGGGCGAAGGTGCGGCAATCCTGCAAGGGGCTATTTAATTATTAAGAACAAACTCCTTTAAAATACCTCCCCTGCTTTCCTGATGTTTGTGCATATCGCAGTGGAGCTGGAAAAGGTGATGCATGTCTGGCATGAAGCTTGGTTGAGCAGATGTTTGGCACCCGGAACAAGCCAGGAGTATTTTAAGTACTTTGCCATGTGCTGAACAGTTCAGACCTTCCAGGAGAGGTGCAGTGATCAAGACAGGCCGTGTTTTGAGTCAGGGTGGGAGGTGAGCTAAGGGAGCATGCTTTCCTTCCAGCAGTTTTTTCTGCGTTCCCTTGGAGGAACAGGCATTTTATAAATAAATTGTGATGAGTATTTTTTTCTTGTTCTTGGTGTTTTCTTCGCATTACAAACAAAGTGGCATGGGCCATTTCACTGAGTAAAGGTACTCTTTATTTCCCCAAAGGTGAGTAGCTTCTCTCAGCACACCTGTTTTGCCACCTGCCTGGCATTTTACAAACGCAGCCAAGCAAGGTCATGTCACATTTGTGGGCTCATGCATTTTTAAAATAGCAGGCAGGTTATTCAATGGGTTTTTAGGGTGGTAATAATTCAGTACTGCACGTGGGGCTGGGGAGACTGAACTCATTAGTATTTAGGAAGTGCCTTAAAATCCTGAAATGGAAAGCAGTACAAGTGCGCAACAGTCCTTATGAATTCTTCATTCTCACTGTCAGTGTAATGCAGTCTGATGTTCCCTGTTGAACAAGAGGAAGCTTGATGAAGCATGTTGCAGACAAGATGGGCCAGGAGACCTTGTTCTACAAAGATGACTCTTCCACATGAGCACAGAAATGAAAAGCACACCTAGTTAAAATGAGCAGACAGTGTGAAAACAAACCTTTTTCCAGCAGCCAGCGCTCTATTCACAAGGCACCACATGACTCCAAGGAGGAGCAAAAGACCCTAGGCAGTGGGATGCTGCAGGCTTTCCCAGAGTATACATCCCTGCTAAATAGCTTTGCGCTGAATCACTGTGGGACCTCCCAGTATTGTGAAGCAAGGCTCTGTTTCATGTAGAGACCAGGACCCTGAATCCTGAGACTACTGTGCTGGTTTGTGGATATAACTCTGAATGGAGGTTACAAACAAACAAAGCCTGGTGATAAATTACCAGGAGAGTGCAGGGAGCAGGCAGCATATCAGCACATCATGTGACAGTACTATTAACAGCTGTTAATAATTTCTCTAAGTTTAAAAGCCACAGTGAAAACACATGTTGGAAATTGTTATTTGAGAATGACGACCACACAGATGGTCGCGTGGTTTTCTTTTGTTGCTTTGAGAACCGCAAAAACTGTCAGTCTCCAAAATATGTCCCCAAATAAGGGAACTTAGATCCCAAGAGGGAAAACACTAATGGACTCATGTTCAGCAGCTTAAGGAAGCACTTTGCCTTTGACCTGAAGTGACTAAAACACTTGTTCTTGTCTCTTCCCTGCCACAGAAAAGACAAGGGTTTAAACCGTTCTGAGCCTTCACTGTGATAACTTTTAACTGTGCTGAATCAAAAGGGGACCCAAAGTTTGCTCAAGTTACAGTTACATTGACACCATGCTCGCATCTTCTGGGTCACCCCTCCTGTAAGCTGCACCAACCGGGACAGTTTCTTCACTGGAAGGCCAGCGTGTGGAGAGCACAGGTCTCCGGACCTGATGTGCCACTCCAGGACAAACAGCCCGGCTCAGATACCCAGCTCTGCTGGCTTGTTTCTTCTGTAACCATGCATGAAAACAGCGGCCTCTCATAGAGCCTGGTTCTGCCACACACAACTGCTGTTGCTGTGGATGCGGCGCTGCATTTCCACCCTGCACAAAAATCACCCCCCTGAACCATTAGGTTTTTCCTCTCTTTGATGGTGCTGTTCCTTTACAAGCCTGTAGGCAAGTTAGCAATGATTTCTAGGTTAACAGACCCACTAAAAGCTTTTCCTAGTATGAGTAATTGCTTGCAAGTTAGTTTGACAATGTAGCAGATTACCCACAAATCTTCTGAGAGAGCCAGGAGCCTTCTTACAAGGGCCACAGCCTCTTCACCTGGTCACACCTGCTCCCTCTGTTAGAGTCGGAGCAATCGCTGGCTTCCACCTCCTCAGCAGACCATTTGCAGCACTGTACCTATTTCCACTGGCACCTTGGGCAGCAGACCCCGGTCCCGGGAACTGCTTTCTGATCTGCTACCGACTCTAAATCCTTCCGTCTCCGACTTGGGGCTGTTTGACCTCTTAGTGGGCCTAGGCTGAAAATCAAATTATTATATTATTTTTTGCTCAATGATTATAATACACAAAACAAGCACAAGTGGGCCCCTTCTTCACCTAGGGCCTGAGGCATGTGCCTCGTTTGCCTGTGCATAATCCAGCCCTGCTCGGACCTGGTTTCTAGAGGAGGGGACGGACGCTGCGCGGCGTTTTCTAGGGGGAGGCTGAAGCTGGGTCCTTGTTCCCCATTCTCAGCCCCCCGTTCATTTAGGGCGAGGCTGAAGTTTATTCCCCCTTCGTGTTTCTGGTTGGAACAAGGAGCCGATGCCGGTGGGGGCCGTGCCCGTAGCCCCGGCTCCTTGTGCAGGCCCGCGGGCTTGATCCGCGACTCCGCGCCCGGTTTTTAGGAGGGAAGAGCCCGTTTTGATGCCGCTCGCGCCTCTCTTGCACGCCGCACTCGTTGCTCGCGGCCGTGCACTACGCCAAAGCCTCGCTTTGAAAGAGGAACCAGAAATGAGGAACCAACTTCAGCCCGGGCACGAGCGCGTTTAAAAAAAGCAAATGAAAAGGAAGTGGAGCCAATGAGGAGCCGCGGGCGGCTCAGCCCCATCCCCCGCCCCCGCGCGCGCGCAGGCCCGGGCCGGGCGACGCGACCGGGGACGCGGCGGG